CCCCCCCTTTAGCGCTACCTCTGGAGATTATTAAAATTTTCAGTTTCAAACCTGTTTCCACACAGTGTCCATGCACCAAATTGCTTGTGAACACATGACTATTGCCTACAAGACCCTTATTAACTTAGGATTCACACAATACATGTTAAACAAAAAAAGTTAATATTGTAATTAACCCTTCTACTTGCCGCTAGGTGTTTTAATTTCACCCAGTTTATTTGGTTGGTTCTTTATACTGCGGTGTTTTAAGAGGTAAAAAAATATATTTGATATGTGGACCCCATCGGTAATGAACAGTAGCAGACATTTGAGTAGTTTCAAGGCTATAAAATGTAACAAAATGAAAGTAACTGACAATTTATAGAGCGCAACATTATTGTCAAAAAATTAAAATAAAATAAAATGTTAAAGTGCTCCAAGCAAGTTGTTGAATATTGGGTTTCGTTTAAAGACTATCTCAAGTTCTATAACTTTTTTTTAAAACTGATTACATATGTATGCCAAGAGAGGTCGCCACTTGTAGTCCTATGTTTTGTTATATTTTATTTTGAATGAAAAGCTACATAATAGACCATCTGCGCTGTTCTCACCAAGGGTATTGAATCCCAATTTTTAGCGTTATAAGTCCTCAAACTTGTCTCCGAGCCGTCGGAGGCCGTTTTGTTTAGAAAACAGCTGGAAGCCTTTATATTAAAATTGTTTGATATTCTGTCGTAAACTAAATATGATGTTGTAAGCTGAAAATATCTTCTGAGTTCTATCAAGATCGACTATAAAGGAGTGCCGATCTTTTATTCTATGACTAATATAATCTCCCTCTGGTGTCAACAATGAAGAACGAAGTACAACAAGCCGCTACATTCTCTCTTTTTTGGTAGAACTTGGATATCTTGTTTTCTGGTGTTTGTAGAACGTGTTACACCAGGAGGTATAAAACTGCCTAGGGAGGCAATAGTTATCAATTTTACTTTTCAGCAGAATCAGTTATCTTGCTTTTCGTCCTTTTCTGTCGATCTCTTTCCGTCAAGCAAACTGTGTGTTCGTAGAAACAAGATTCTATATAAAGACACGTACACTGTAAGGTAATCAACTTAAATAATAAACAAGATTCTATATAAAGACACGTACACTGTAAGGTAATCAACTTAAATAAGAAACATGATTCTATATAAAGACACGTACACTGTAACATAATCAACTTAAATAATAAACAAGATTCTATATAAAGACACGTACACTGTAAGGTAATCAACTTAAATAATAAACAAGATTCTATATAAAGACACGTACACTGTAAGGTAATCAACTTAAATAATAAACAAGATTCTATATAAAGACACGTACGCTGTAAGGTAATCAACTTAAATAAGAAACATGATTCTATTTTTTTTAAGCGGTAAGTCCGAGGGCTTATTACACTAAAAATCAGGTTTCAAAACCCCTTGGTAGGCACAGCACAGATAGGACATTGTGCAGCTTTGCGCTTAGCAACACAATAAATAAACAAACGCAGTTAGGCCTACATGTGTTATTGATTTAAGAAACGCCCACTCTACCTTTGAAACATTGCTGACGAAGCCTATTAATTAATTGTATGCGTAATAGAATTTCACCTACGCTGTTTAGTCTAACCAGTCTGAGAAACCAGCCATGTAATATTGATAGTTAGTGACAGGCGCCGTTGGCGGCAGCGTACTTCAATTAAATTATAATTTGTTTGTTTGTTTAGAATTAAGTACAAAGCTACACAATGGGCTATCTATGCTCTGCCCACCACAGGTATCGAAACCCGGTTTTTAGCCACGGGGGTGGGTGGGCATAAAGTATAATTGAAATGCTTTTAAATGCATCCTTTTTACTGGGCCAGCAAAGTATGATATAACTTTAATTATTACCAGTAATATCACAACTATATACAGAGGCGTCGCTGGGCGCTGGCACACGGGGCTCAAGCCCCGAATCCCCAATTAGTGTCTTGAAAAATCGGAAGAGAAAAACCATGATGGATATCATACCGAAACGCCGAAAATTCCCGCTCCTATGGACTCGAGCCCTAAATATTTTCACCTAGCAACGCCTCTAACTATGTAACTACAGATTATCATATCACCCGATCGCCATTCTTGGAAAATTTCACGGGTTCACCACACAATTGACAAACAGGTCGAATAAAACTTGTTACACTCCAGCTTCAATAGATTATGCAGATCCTTTAATATTGCGTGAAGTGTTGTAAAAAGCTATCACCATTACTAAATCATTCTCGATAAGGCTAAAATAAGATCTAACAGAACCAACGTCTGTCTGTTGAGTAAAATAGTCGAAATGTGTACTGACTTTGTTGACCGAAAACATATTGTTAAGGAACAACTTAAACTAATTCAATAATAAGATAAATAGCACGTGAATTGAATAAAAAATGGGCAACATTGGGGTAGCGCTCGAAGGAGGAAAATTTATTGCAATTGGACACCCACATACAATGTATGAAATATTGATATTCCGGGAATTCAGAGCCTTCTCCACAATTCGTAGAATTCCTCAAACAGCTAGAGCTTTGTTTACAGGAAAGAATGCTTTCAATATTTATATGTGTTAGAAAAAGAAGAAGAAAAAACTGCTCAAACACCTGAAGAAACACTCTATTAAAATACCTGAAAAATATTGGCATTGTCCCAGTCCTGTCTGTGTGTGTGTGATTCAGTAGCTGAGGTGTGCATGAGGGCATTCCAGCCTTCAAAAAGTACCAGGATATGTTATCCCACGTGAAAATTACATTGTTCAAAAACCCGAGAAATAAAAAAAAACATTGCTTAAACATGCGAAAAACAGTATTGTTCAAAGATCTGAAGAAAATACACTGTTCAAACTGCAAATCCTCAATCAATCTATACACAAAAAACACGAAATATCTCAGTTTGTTTGTTTGCTTGTTTTTCCGCCGCGTTCACTGCGCAGGTCACACTTTTCTCACGAGAAGGTGCGCAAAACGATAACTTTTCGTTGACATACGCGTTTATTGTCTGCCAGCGGAACCGGTAATTTTCTCGTTAACATATAGGTTATTCGAATAAATTATACACAGACTTGATATTTTTTTGGTAGGTTTGAATTAACATTTAATCTAGAATATAGCATTATAGGCCTATTTAGTTATAGCCGTTAACTATACATCTAATAATGCTTGGAGATGACTCGAATGGGTAATGAAGAAAAACTTCAATATAAGTTTAACATAACAGCAAATGTACAACGTTTCGACAAGGTTTTGTCATCATCAGGTACAAGTAGTTTACATTGACACAGATATATACAGTATGGAACAAAGAAGTCACATGACCGGATACTGTTGCACGACTTAGAAGAGGTATCTAGGCACCCCGGGGTGTTG